GGTATTTGGAATTAAACAAACACCCTACATGTGCTTGACACGGTCTCTAAGGTGCTTGAATAGGTTAATTAGTAAAGTATGAAGCAGAACACACTTTATTCATCAAACACTTCACACATGGAAGAATTAGTACGCTCTGGTTGTGTACCTTGATGTCTTGAAGATAGAGTTCTTAGAGTAAAAAAGGAGAGATGAAAAGGCTAAAATCTTTGTGTCTGAGGAATAAAAGAAATTTGAAACCAAAGACTAGGGATATCTAATACTCTTTGTCTCAATATTTTTGGGAGATGAGATAATGGCACAAAGATTAAGAAAACTTACAAAAGTAAGATTGTATGATTGATATTTTTGTTAAAAAGTATGATAAAGTGAGAATGAATGTGAACCCCACAAATATGACCAAATATAGTGATGGAGGCATGGGCCTCCAACCCAAGACATCCCGACAAACAATGTCAAACAGAGGATCAAGGACCACGTGGCAGACCTACTATTGAAGGTCAGTCATGACCCATGATCGGCAACCATGGGCCGGTGACCAACGACCATGAAGCTCCGAGTTTGCTCACCTCTCTCGCACCGCCTCAGTCCACACACGCAATGCTTGGAAACCTACAGTTAGGTTAACACAATAGCATCTACAACACCCATATCCATCGAGCAAGAACTTCCTTGAAAGACACCGAGGATGGGCCCAAGGAAGGGTGTAGAGAAACGAGGGCGAAGGACCAAGCGCCAAAGCGCGACCGACGGTCAGTCACCTGTCACGACTCACGACCAGCAACAAGCAACCTAGGGCCGACAACCGGAGACAGTGGACCTCCGGGCCTGCGCATCTCTCTCACACCTTGACTCACACCCACAACACCTATGATACTCCGGAAGTGCGGCAAGAAAGCTCCCAGGGTGACCGGTCCTTCAAGCATGAAGCTTCTAAGTTCTAACCACTACGTGACAAAGGAGACACAGAAAGGACGCGCATACGCGGAGAGGATGTGCACCAGTCTAAAAGAACACTTCAAGAAATACACGACAAGGAGACGTCAATCAAAGTCTAAACCTGTTGTACTCAATGATGATATTAGTACAAATATCCCCTCACCCTTTAGTATTCCGTATCCGAAATCAAGCTAATAATACTCTCTTTTCATTCTTGTGTGCCCTCTCTAGATCAGCTACTTACTCTCTCTACTTGCATGCCACTCATCTCTTTATCCGAATTCCGGGTCAGCTAGTAGGTGGATTCTTTGTCGACCAAATGATATGAGACCAAAGTAGTGGGACGAACAAAAAGAGTAAATAGTGACAAAAATAGTGGGACCGGGGGAGTATATCTTTTGGGAATGGGCATGGCCAATTCTAGTAAAGAAATTCCAGTCTAACAAAGTACATGTTTTCTGGATCTTTTGCACGCGACTACCAACTGGTATGGATGGGTAAAAAAGTATTGAGACTCATATGGATGCTAACACTAACTTCGTGTACCATAGTTGCCTAGAATAGTCCTATTTTACCATCAATAGCTCCATAAAAAAATTTCTCAACTTTAATTTATCAGCTTCAACTGTCAACAAAAGGCTGATTAAATAAATTTAAGGGCCAAATGGAAGTTCTCATTTTACATAATAAAAAGGTTGAAGTATCAAAACCCGTGTTTTAAATTTCTAACGTACACAAACAATTTGTGGCAGCAAAATAGAAGTTTTCATAGAAAAAATGTTAAATTTCTCCATTAAAAAACTGAGTAAATTTTGTTTTTATTAAAATTAAGTATCAGCAGAACATGCACAAAGGGCATAATTTACCTCTTTCAGCATTGACCTTGTAAGAATCCACCGCCCAACATGCAAATCATACATTTCAACATCTGAAAAGCAATCACGTCCATTTCCACCACCAATGGAAAATATCTTATCATTCAAAGTAGCGCCAGCCAGGCTGCCCTTTTCCTTGTTCAAAGAAGGATGCACATTCCACACATTCTTAGCTGGGTCATATGATTCCACTACACAAAAGTAGTCATATCATAACTGGCAGTCTAGGCTCATGCAAATCTAAAAATAGGCGGTCATATCCATTGCACAATGTTCCCATATAATGGAGCATTTACTAAAGGGATAAAGAGGAAAACAAAGTGTATAATACCTGTGTCATACCACACACAGCCGGTTCCGCCACCAAACACATAAAGTTCTCCATTAAGCTTTGTAGTTGCAGCATAACAACGTGCTGAGTTCATGGGCTGAAATGATTGTATTACATCATTTGAAGGAGAATATAAATCTAATGATGATAACAATGCTTCGCCATCATATCCTCCAACTAAATAAATTGAATCTTCAGGATCAAGGTCATATGCATCATCTGATCGATTCATGGTTTCATCTATGTGCAGCAGAGAAGGATCAGATGCCAACTCCAACTTCATGCATCTACTTTTTAGGTCCTGAATCTCTTGTTCTGCTTCAGCCTGAAATTCCATGTGAAGAGATGAAGAAAACAAACATGAAGTTATAAATAATCAGTACCGAGAGAGCACTTGTAGCTCATATTTCAGCACAAGTCCACTTGAAGCAGTTAGAAGACATAACTGAGCTGTAGAGCATGCAAACAAAATCACAAAATGTAGAGACATGAAATTCAATTGCCTTATTGGTTGCTAGAAACAGAAAAATCTGAATTTCATATCAAACTAAGCATGTTGGTCACAAAACTAATTCTGCATTGCCTAATAAATGGAAAATAAATTTGAGATCAATACAATGAAGAGTGATAGTACCAGCTTCTGCTCCAAAAAATCCACCTTCTGCTTTTGTTCTTCCTTAAAAGTATTGAGCTCTTTCATTCCTTGAATTAACTGAAATCAACATAGGCAAAGCTAATTCCAACTACATATAACAAATGTCATTCCAAGCATGGATAATCTGGACTGAAAGATAAACCTGAGCTATGACTGAAGGATAAGTAGTGGAATCAAACGAGCTTTCATCATTCTTCTCATTCAAATCTTCAAAAACTTCATTATGCTCTAAATAAGTTCCATGCTCCACATCCTCATTCAATAAGTTGCCTGCCATAAAAGCAGGAGTTTCAACTGCAGGTCCTGTCACCAGGGCATCTGAAGATGCACATTTGACAGCCAATTCCTTTAGTTTCAAGTATATTTGATCCTTGTCACTTAGGTGTGATACGGTACCTTCAGGCACATAATTTGTCTGATTGTCACCATTTAAAAAAAGATAATCATCAGATGCCAACTCTCCACTAGAGTCATGAGATTCGGCATAAGCGTTATCTAGATCTGGCAGCTTAAGCTTTCCAGTCTCCTCTCTCATGCCATCAGAGGGTAACCCATGAGATCTGATCTTCCAGTTATTTTTATTCTGTAGGTTGAAGCTACCGGGTGCAATTGCATGAGAAGACAGTTTCGACATCAGCTTGCTAGTTTGAGAATGATCAAGCTCAAACCAGAAATGATGATTAGTATAATAGTTGTCAAAAATTATGGGCTTAAACTGGTCTTCTGACAGGGGTTGACATTGCAGCCGGACACGTACTGGAACCTTAATAAACAGAAATCATAGTTAACATTCAAGAACAAATACTTCTGCCCTAAAATAGAATGTGACAACAGAAGAATTAAAATGGCGATAATAAAAACTAAAGGGTGGTCTGCTATAGTACTTGTGCAGGGAATTGAGTTCTCTCGGAACCATTTGATGTCCATGCATATGGATTAATGTTCATGCGGCCAGCACCTGCAGCCTCAAATATGCCATAGAGTCTTCTATCACTGTAGTTAAACAAGAACAGAGGAAGGCCTTGTACTATATTCTTTACATATGAGAAGTGTTGAAATGGCAATCCTGTCAACATTTAGAAGTTAGAACAGGCAGTTGTTGAAAATTAGTATTCCCTCTGTCCCAAAATGAACTTCACGTTTTCCTTTCCCATTAGTCCCAAAATGAACTTCACATTTTCTATTAAGGAATGAAACATGTGACTCACAAATTTTCTCTTTTCTAAACAGATTTCAATCACACCTTTTTACTTTTCAACACTTTTCTTAATCTCCGTGAAGTCAAACCATGAAGTTTATTTTGGGATCGAAGGTATCCTAATATGGTAAGTGGAAAGATGATTTTGGGATAAAGCGAATATCTTCTAAAATAACATATGATTAATGGAAACGGAACCAAGTAGTTGAAACTAAGCTCGAAACTAACCGAATAGTTGTGCATGAAGACATTCTCTGATGGTTTCATTCTTGCAACCAAAAATGACGCCACCAAGTTGACCACTCCTTAAATTCCTAAAGTTTGAATGTTGGCTTGGTGGTGATGGTGGAATATCTTGTGCTGTTAAAGTTTGTGTTCTCCTCCCTGCTCCCATCCTGTAAATTGAATGGATAAAATATTATCATATCACCTTATGAAAACAATTCATAAAATAAATCATAATATGAACCAAATCAGAAGTAATTGAGCCAATATAATAACCAAATCAGGAGTAACATTCAGATTTCACTGGAAGAAGCAAAACAATAGCATGCAATAAGTTTGTGAAATTTTATTCAGATGATGCAAAATCTCGATTTCAACTTTGACCCGATTGAAACTGAGTGCATTCTACAAACATCTTAATTTCCCAATTAAACTCAATCTCTTCAAAATTAGAAGCCTAGAATGTACATGTGCGTGTGTACCTTCCATGTTTTACCCCCTTTCAATTTCCAAACATCTAAACACAGCACCAGTCAAGCTAAACTAATATTAAGAAAAAACAATTAGCCAGTAACATTCTCTTGTGGTTGGCTGAGTCCAAAGCAGACAGCAACTCACCATTTTCTCCACCTTCCATAACTGCAACCACTTGTCGTTCTTCGACTTCACCTAAATGTCTACTTAGTATGTTCTCACTGAGAAAATGATATGCACATAAAAGGGTGGTTGTGTTTTTCAATCAAACAAAACAAAATAAAATAAAAATAGTGTTACACAAAACCAGAATCTCCATTATTAGGGAAATCTCTAGACATTCAAGATGGATAATCACTTATTCCAGTAATTTTGAAACGCAAATGTAGCTTTTCGTCTTATCCATACTCATTAAAACCCCGATGAATCGCACGAAACCCTCCGCGATTCGAGGACAACGATGAACATTTGCAAGTCGATAATGCGCGATACTTTTTACTCAAACACATATAATAATGCGCGAATATTGAAACAGATGTAAAAGAGAAAGATTGAAACAGACGAAAAAAGAGAAAGCCGACCTTTCACTGGGAGGAAGAAGACACTGGAACTGCAAGTGAGGCGCGAACGGAGCATTCGGGAGAAAAAGACACTGACATCGGGCTGATGGTCCACCATAGTGATACCACCCTTCTAAGAATAGAAAGAAGCACGATAGATGGAAAACAAGTAAAATTATATTATGTTGTACTCCGTATTAGTATAAATATTTTTAGTTAATAAAAGCATTTAAATTTGTATTCTTTACTCTTCTTCATCTGGTTTTTAGTGTCATTGCTCATATATTCTATCATATCACAATTTCTATTTTTTATTATAATTAATAAATATTTTTTTATTTTTATACATGGTAATGTATTTTTTAGATATAAATTGTTCAATATTATTTCAATATAAAAAGATAATGTTTATTTTTTACTCGAAATTATATTAAAAGTTTATAAAATCAGTGCATTTAGAGTTTGTTCTCTTCACCTAATTCGAATGGTTCTGATTTGATTAGAATAAATTTTGTTTTGATTTGGCCTGATCTTGTTGTAGTTATATTTAAAATTGCTTTTGATCTGATCTAGTATCAGATTCAAATAAAATTAAGTGATACTTCATAATTAATAAGAATAACTTGAAGAGAAGAAGTTTTTTTTAATTTACAAAACTCATATATCACAAAAACTACATATATTGATTTACATCATTCGAGTAACAAGAAGTATAGTAGCTTTGGATTGTTAAAGTCTTGAATATATTCTTACTATATTTAATATTAATATATATTGGTAGCTTCCATAATTGTATAGGATGTAATTGATATTGTTTCCTATTATCATTAGGAAACTCATGTATATATATACATGTAATCTCCCATAATAATTTATGTGAAAATATTCATTCTTCATGGTATCGGAGCCATAATCAATCACAGCTCCCTCTCCAACCCTAATTCTCTTCTTCTCTGTTTCGGCCCCCCCTCTCACGGCAGCCCTTCTCGCCGGCAAACATGGCCGAGGTTTCCTCCGTCTCTGCCGATAAAAACTCCTCTACATCTCCCCACCTTGCCTTCACCACTATCTCTAACATTAAACTCCATATTCCTGTCCAACTCAGTCTCTCAAAACCAAATTACAAAAAGTGGAGTCGATTATTTCGTCTCCTGATCCTCCGCTTCAACCTCAAAGGCTACATCGATAACACAACCCGTGTCTCCTCTGCAGATGATACTGAATGGTATCAATTTGATGCCCTAATTCAAGGATGGATCCTGGCTACGATCTCGGATGAAGTCTCCGACCTTGTGCTCTCCAACAATCTCACTGCTCATGCACTATGGACGGCAATTTACAATCTTTTTCACGACAACAAGCACGCCCGGGCGATGCAACTAGAGCACCGTTTCCGTACAACTGTTAAAGGTCAACTCTCCATCAACGAATATTGTCGTCTTCTCAAGAATCTCTCCGAGTACCTAGATAACGTGGATGCTCCTGTCACCGAACATGCCCTTGTACTTCAGGTTCTTCAAGGCCTCCCTCACAACATCCGGAGTCAAGTTCAATTCTTGCAATACCAAAATCCACTCCCGACTTTCTTGGAGGTCCGATCCGCCCTACTTCTCGTTGAACAGCAACAAACCGACGCCATGTATGGCGCCGGCTCGCCGTCCACATCCCTCCTCAGCACCGGCGGCGGCGGCGGACAGACGGGCAGCGGATACCAGCGAGACTGAGGCGGCGGCTACGGCAGGCCTGGGAGCAGCGGCAGCGGCGGATTTGACGGCGGATATGGCGGCGGCTACGGCAGACGCGGCAGGAATTCCGGCGGTGGCAGTGGAGGCGGCAATCGCGG